AAGTGAATCTACAGAGGCTTACAGTAGATCCTACAATCTGATCAACCACAACGTCTACGATGTTCAGGTAGGACAACTGACTTGCTCTGCAGACAATTTTTGGGAAAAAGAGGAAGTATCTTGGCGAACCAGATAAGATTAATAGAAGTATGCAGGATTCTACAAACAGTTAGCTGATGCCTCCTGCGTTTTGTAATGAAGATAAAAATTTCGGAATACAGCCGCTCGCGTAATTTGATGTATACTTTCACTACGAGTGCATGAAGCGTACACTTTCATCTATTGTGACAATAAAATATCTTGTGCTGGTAATCTTGTCTATATTCTAGTTCTGCACTAAATGGAGGAAGGAGTCAATTGGTCAAACTATTTCCGAAATGCTTTTTTGAGCTGAAACACATTCATTGGTTTTACTATAGTTAATAAGTAACCCATTTTCTACGGATCAGTCCTGAACACAAGTGACTGCCAAAGAATACTTTGAGAGATCATCTTCTGATGTAGCCGCACTTAGCATCAAGGTTCCATCGGAACATTTCATGCATCGGTTTGGAAAGTTGACTTTGCATGCGTTTGTGCATGTCGTGAAGAGATGAAGCGATAAGGCTGATCCCTCAAGAATTCCTTAGTCGTTTTGTAGACTGGAAGATTCTGGTAAACCAGTAAGAATGGAGTGCGGTTATGGAGACACTTGGCCAACCGGCGCAGGGTGTTGAGGTCAATATCGAGAGAACAAAGAAAATTTGCAAGCTTATCACGACGCACAATATTAAATGCGTAAATGCAGTCCAAAAATGGGCCATGAGTTGTGCAAGCACTTTTGTCAAAACCTTCGGCAATAACATTTCACAAATGCGCCAAGACATCAACGCAGCATGTATGTTTCCTGTAGAAGGGGCAAGAGTCAGGTAGTAGAGCTGTTGCCTTGAATCGAGGTCGCATTAGAGCTTACATGCATTTGAAAGGGACTGGTATGGCACCAATTGGACGAAAATCTGTTGCTAAGACAGATGTGGGTTTCTTGGGTACAGGAGTGATCGCTGCGATGCGCCACAATTTCGACATACCTCTTGACTTGCGTGCGGTTAACATACATAAAAAAATAGCGTAAAACACGGTTTACTTCTACACAATGCAAAAGATGCAGTGGTCACCGGACTGACTTTTGCATCGTAGATTTGAATAAATAAACCGTGTTTTAAGCTATTTTCCATCCTTTGAGAATAGTCGCATTCATGCCGTCGAAACTTGTCACTAAACAGCTATGTAACCGAGAAAAACTGCTACATAGCGTCTAATATGCAAACAAATTGAAGCTTGGAGCTGTTATTGCAGGCTTAAACATCGAACCATCGTAGAGTATACTGATAAGAGGCAGTTTTGCTTTCAAAAGTGGTTGCTTAATTCTTCTAGGTTTATAATGCAGATTTTGTTACTATTGTTGCAGCCGGTAAAAGTGCGGATTTTTTCCACTGATCTTTGGATTTTATGGACGCAGTAGATAGTCAGCATAGGATCTACTTCATCTGTATATCTCTTCTTTCATGCTTTTCATGACTTCTGTGGACTTTGTTTAATCCTTTGGCAGTCATAGCCCCTTCGCAGTCTGATCAGTCCTCCTGGCGTAAAGCATAGTCGATTAACGATTATCTTTTTGACAGGGCAGCAGATATCGTTGACGATTTTGAAGAAGGTTACAGCAAGACCTACGTGTTCGTTAAAATCTTTTGACTGAAATGTTGCCCTGTCTATACTCTACAGGAAGTAGAAAAGTTTGACGATGTTGCCCTCATATGTTGCACGGTGGTTAAAGGATTGATTATATTAGTGGTGGCGTGATGTAATTTGTTAAAAATTTTGATCACTAAATTTGTTCGAGGTTGGGATTAGCTGAATTTTACAATGATCGGAATTCGCCAGTAGAGCAAGACATTCGGCAATGCAGTAATCTGCTGTATTGGTGAAAAACTGGATCAGTGGAACGCTGAAGCGAGGACTGAATTTTACGATAGCCGTACACAAACTGAGTATATGAGTCGACAAATTCCTTTGTTAAAATTACCGGCGATTATAGGAAGATTATTTCACTGAACATACTGCATTGGCAAACAAAGTCAACAGCAAATGAATTGAAGACTCAAACCGAGCAATCCGGCACAATATGGCAGTTAGCCAAACAAACTTTTCTGAACACTGACAAGAATCTTTGACGGCATTGGGTATTGTCTTTAGAAGAAGCAAAAATCAGCGTTGATTTTGAAGACCATTGCCTTCTGATCCATTTAGCGACTCCGACGCCAAGGCGTTTATATTTCGTTACCTTGTCAGTTGTAAATAGACTGTACTCATCCAGCATAACCAGACCATCATTAATTGTGAGGTAAAATAAGTATTCTCGAAGTGAAGAAACATACGAATATGCGTAGGGATTATCTCGCAAAGCGCTTTTATGATGTCAATTTTGCTTAAAACGGATCTCCAGTTACTCATCACCAAACAGGAGATAGACGTAGAGCTCGGCGGTGTCTGTTTGCCATGTACTTAGTAACCGGCTCTAAATTCTTGTGGTTGTGACCAGCGCCATCTGTATACGTCGTCCCAGCCTCACGAGTTAAACTGATCACAGTCAGTTCTTAGCAATTTCTTTTTCCTGTATTCGGTTTTCAACTTTCTCTTGACATTCTTTCAGTAGGTTATAGCCACAAAAGAGCTTTGTATACTATTGTACAACTGAGCAGTCGCTGAAGGTGCTCAGTAGATTTTTCCAAGCAGAAGCTGTAAAGGCCGAACCAAGAAGAGCGACCGACCGTTCCGTAAAGCAAGGCTTAATCCTACGACACAGAAGGTGGATCTTTAGCGTCATTCAGATGATGTTCTTTTGTAAGATAATTGAAATATACATTTTTCTTGGCTGTATTCTGCAGCCATCCAGAGAGCCGGAATTCGCCAGAATACTCACACACTATGATGCGAAACAGGTTTACGTCAAATTTTAACTCTTACAATAATAATACCTGTTGATCATTCATACTGTTTATAGTCAGGAAAGCGCATGAATCCCGTGAAAGTGTCCTGGATAGTATATTATGGAAGCGATTTCTTGATGCAGGATCATCGTACCGTAGTTTTAATGGTAATGTGCATTAAAATTTGTAAACAGTAATTAGATCTAGAGCGAATATTGTTTGAATTCATATGCTAATGAATGGCTCTGCTTGTCACTGTCTTTTAATATTAATATCCGTGGTGCTGGTTTGTTGTACTGGTAAGCAGTCATGAGGTTGCGATACTAATATTTAATGAGCTATTTGAACTCATTATGTTCATTTTAAAATCATGAATATTTTGTGCAGAAAATTTGTTACACTTACTAACGTGCCAGGTCGATTTCTATTCTGTGATAGTTCTGTCAGTAAGTTCTAATCAGTTCTGACGTTCGAATTGTGTACATTGTCATCGTTTAACCGTACGTTCTGGCCTGCTTGAAAAGAGCAAACAGCAGTGTGTCAGCTTCAGAAACAGAATGGTTTATGTCGTGGTGTAGAGCCAAGTTTTCCTATGCGTAATGTGGTCAGCAAAGACTGTGTATGAAAAATTTGAATTTTTTGCATGACTCAGCATTGAACCATCCCCGTTACACGTCATTTGTCTCACATCAGAGCTGTTGAGTGTTCCTCAACGTTAGAACTATGCTTTAAGGCAGATACTATATGAAAACCGTCAGTGAGACAGAAGCCAAGACAATGTCATTGCAGGCCGAAAGTTGTCCACCATATCGTGTATCAGATATAAACGTGTAGCCTAGCTGAACCCCTCTAAGGTGGAATCTCATATTTTCAAAGGCCTTGTGTGATTTAGTAGCGGTAGTACCACAGGAAACATTGATCTTTTGAGAAAGTCAAGTAACGCGCTTGCAAAGTCGTCCGGTATTGAAGGAGAAAGAGCTGTTCAGCAATGCGAAGCTTTTTGTCTTCAGTTTTATCGAAGCACCAGCCCTCGCCAATGTTCACAACTGCTTGATATCGATGGAAATCAACTGTCCGACATAAAACCCCTAAAATGAAGCTTCATTGAATGACCACTGGCGAGAAAATACGTTCGAAGTAGTGTGCAAAGCGGTTATTTAAATGTACTTCTTCAACGATTTATTGGTTTGTGCATCATAGTTGTTACCAGCAGTGTTAATAGACTTTAGCTGGAAACCAGTGTCTAAATCCCTCGGAAGTCCTTATCACTCCATATCACTTTGCAGAAAGTCAGTCAGTAAGTTTCGATGACCGCTTGTCATATCGGATCTGGGAGGTGGACGTGTCAGGATGTCTCAGTACTGTGAAGGCGTTTGAGTTTTGGTAGAAGATAACCTGACTCTTGATCAGAGTCCTTAGAGGGCCACTTGTCCCAGTTTATTCTTAGCTGTATCCTTCATCTTCGGCAGATCAGTTGAACAAGTAGTAGTTCTTTCGCCTTCCTTTCTGAATGCATCCGCAAGACTCGCCCAAACCATTGCAGTTGTGATTTCTCAGTCTGAAGAAGAAGCGGCTGTGTACCAAGGTTCTCTCGGATTTCTGTAGTCCGGACCATGTCCCAGATGGTTCGTCTCCTTAAACCCATTTAGGCCTCTTGCAGAAAAGTAAAGGGGTGAATTTTTAATTCATTGCAACAGACGCTGAAAAGCGCTGTGAAAGTATTAATGTTAGCCTATGTTTTAAATTTCTAAATTTATAGTTTTTGTAAGTGCGTTGTCGTCTGTTCTAATGACAGTCGTTGAAGAATCGGCCGAATCTGTGTCAAAGATTAGACACGGTGATGATTTTAACACCGGTGTAACGTTGGCAGCAATTTCCAGTGTTTTTA